CAGAGAGAGAGACGCGTCACCGAAAGAACTAAAATAAATTTCCTTATTCAGAATCCTCACCAAAACGAACCGGAACACGCCAAAACCTTTAACTACGAAAAAAGAAAAAAGGCGAACAAGAAGAGAGAGAAAGTTTGATCAGTAAACAACATCCATTTCTATTACTGACTCAGACAGACCTTGTTCTGCAATCTTAACCATCTGTTTGGTTGCCGAGAAAATGAAAACAACAAAATTTAGAAAATTAAGTTTAATTGTCCAAACATGAGCTTTCGCCACCACCTCCTCAGCTGAGATGAACTTTATCAGTCCTCTTCTTCATCCTTAGCATGTATAGATTTATACTTTGAACTTTTTTTAGCTCGTTGAATTTTCTGATCAGCAACCAAACGGAGAGTGGAGAAGAACAAGGCCAATCAATCCCTGAGGAAATCGAAAGCGTACCTTCTGAGAAAGCCATGGTGGACTGAGAGCTTTCGAGACGAAGACAGCGACTGGCTTCAACTTCAATCAACTCAACGGACACTCGCCGGAGAAGGCATAGTTTCCGGCAATGGCAGCTGGATCCGAATGGCTTCGAAAAATCGATTGGCAAAAATCAAAGATAGTTTCACAGGCTCTCAATAGAAAAGAGTATATTATAGAAGGCAGTGAGTTTGGCTTGACAGAGGGAGCTGTGCACAGAGACCTAATACCAAAGCTCCAACACACCAGAAGTTCCAGTTGTTGTGAGCAAGGAGCAATCTCAGCCACTACTATTTCCCCTCCATTTTCTTTTTTCTTATTTAATTACTTGAGGCTGTCAAAGCCTTAAAGCCTTCTACTTGATACGAGAGTGCCTTAGGATCACGCCACGTGTCGCAAATTTAGCGGCTGCGTTAGTTGTAGCCCACACATGCGCTTTTTCCTTTTCTTTTTTTTTTAAATTAATTATTAAAAAAAATATAAAAAAATTCACCGTCGATTTTCAGCCACAACCACAAACTCCCCGCGCTGAGGCTATGTTCGTAAAAGCGCATCCAGCTGTGCGCTGTGGGCCCTCCGGTGACGTGGCGTTTGAAATGTGTGGGAGGGGAGATAAAAACCGGGAAACAGTTGATGTCCGGTTCAGATACGGCACGGACCAACGGACGAGGACGATGGATTTTAACGAACGTGATTGCCACATGGAAAGAGATCAGACCGTTGGTGTGAAAGCGCACAGAGGCACACGGTAGGTACGGTTCTCACGTGCGGCTATGATCCAAAACCTTTTTTGTATTTAAATAAACGACCCGATACATTTCTGGTAAATCAAGAGGATCGTGCACGTAACACAGTTGATCATGGCTGTTACTTTGTTAGGCCACCATTTTTTTTTATTTTTTATAATCAAATTTTTAGGCCACCATGCTCAAGTTTTCAATTCTAATTTACGGACTCGTTGTTTTAGCCAATTGACTTAAATTTCATAGACTATAAATTTGACTTTAAAAACAAAAAAAACAAAAGCATAATACAAACGCTAGTAGGGTATTGAGTTCTTCTACTTTATTCATGTGAACAGAGTTTCGAAATCATTTGGCACCCAATGAATATTAGTAAATTTAGGTTTAAGCCACACAAAAACTTTTACTTTTGGAAAAAATCAAATTTTTTTCAAAAAAAATAGAAAAACCCCTCAACTTTCAAACTAAAGACTTGCAAATATAAAAGATTCTTTAGAATTCAAAAATAAATAAAGACATTTTTGTTAATTTTGGCTTCTTTTAAAAATATTTCTCTCTCTTTTGGCTTTTTCCAAAATATCCCTTAAATATTTGTATAGACTCCCATATCCCAATCACTGGTACTCAAAAAAGCATAATACAAACAATAATGTAGACTACGATGTAGAGAACTGAAACTTGAATACAAGGAACAAATTAACTGCTCTAACCAATTGCCACAAGTTTGATTTTTTTTTTTTAAAAAAAAAAAATTATAATAACAAAAGTATAAGTCTGAAATGAGTTTGGGCGGGCATGTGACATGTTCCCCTCTTGCATTGAAAAAGAAACAATACAAAAGATTATGCACCCGCTGAATTGATATGGACACCAACACGAGGAATTTCTCTAAGTGGAAAAATCTTGCTAACTTTTCGTCTCTGTACAGTTCATAAATTTTACTAAAACAAAAGGCCATTAATTTACATATATGTGGTCTGTAGGTCCTCGCGTGACTGAGAAAGAGCTACTTGGCAAAGGGGCAAAAGAGGTATTATCGGCCATAACAAAAAGTGATTAGAGTTGGGTTTAGGGTTTTTAGCAGAACCAAACCACATGCCATGGAAGAAAAGGTGAAGATAGGGTTAAAGCTAAAAGCTGAGTTAGCTAAGTGTCACTTAAAACAAGCTCATTTTCCACATGGGTAATGAGGAAAATGGGTGGGCTAGTCACACCCTTAATCCGGTATACCAAACACTCCCAAAGATCTTTTTTATTTTTTATTTTTTTAAACATGACTAATTAAACCTAATGGAGGCAGGTCCCTGGATAAACCTTGTACATGATTAGTTTCTCTAACATTTCAAGAATGCTGAACTCTATTGTGTTTTGGACTAGCCAATGGGTCCATAGCTCAGTTGTAAGGTAAAAGATATATTATTGACTTCCTAGGTTCTCGTTGAGAAAGAATTTGAACATAATTCTATTTGAGATTAATTATTTACATGAATTACAAATTTCGCATTTGAGAGCTATCACTAGAAATTCAAAATGAAAGAGTACTTGAAATGGAGAGTTTGGTCAAAAAGAGTGATACACATGCATCACATCTTAGCATGATAACTTTCACATTTACGCACTTATTTTCGTGTTAACAATGTCATCATCATGTAATTGTAATTACATCTCTCACACATTTGATTAGCTTGAATATAATTACATTTTTACAAAAATTTCAAATCAAATGGAGCGACTAACGAACAGAAATTAAAGGCTTAACACGACATCTAACAACCGAATGCTTAGCGAAGTGAATGATTTAATGGGAGACTGGGTAAGGGTTTCCAAACTTGTTAGGTAACTTGGATTGGAAGTTTCAAATAAAAAAGTTCGAGTGTGAGAGCAGAACACTGCTATGTCGTGATATTAGTTCACATAATGGTAGGGTACAGTAGAGAGAGCGTTTTTGCTCTTGGTATAGTAACGTACCGACATGAATGTGAAACAGAAGCTTTCCTCTTTGAAAAATTCCTCGTGGTCAAATTGCTGCGGCAAAGCGGGAGGAGAGAGACTTGGCTGCCAAACAAACAAATGGCCACGATCAACTCCACGACCTGCACGGCATGGACCTGATTTACCAAAAAAGTACGGAATCGGGCCACCGTTGTTTTCAGTAAAATGTACCGGGCTGTAACCGCAGTGTGCGAACCGGTGCTTCGTGCGGTTGGGTCTCTCCCCACGTGGCGGATCAGAACGACGCTACATGTTTCTCGTTCGTTGGTCCATACCATACGACCGGACCGGACCGGACCGGACGTTCCCTTCTTTCTTCTGGAAATGTCACGTCATCTGGGACCCAGGTCGCACGGCTAAGAGAGTTTGTGGATGAGATTCAAGGCGAAAATAAATCAATAATAAAAATATTTAAAAAGATTGAAAAAGGTGCAAATGTGAGGGAAAAGCAACTCAGCCGCAACCTGTGGGACACCTATCGCGATACCTTGGCGTGCTGGTCTCGTGAGGAGGCTTTAGCAGCCTCAAATAATTTGATTGGAAAAAGTAAAATTCACAAGAAATAGTAGTGGATGTGATGTAGGTACACATGGTTATTATTCTTCAGCAGCAAATGTTGAATGACTTATTGCTTGAAGATAAATGAAGTTATGGTTTCATTTGTATTTATCTATAGAGGATTCCTTTTCTCGTTTTTATTAATAGAGTCGGGGAGATTCGAACTTAAAATCTCTTTTAATATTGAAAAGAAAGATGTATAACACTCTCTCTACGAAGTATTTTTATTAGAATGTTTAACAAACAAAATTTTAGAAGTTGAAAAGACACACTTTTACCTATTACACAAGGCGGAGTTCATCTTCTTAATTCTTTATCTTCTGGTTTTCATATTTCATGCATATATGTGATTCTTCAATGTGGTTAACTGAACTAGTTCAATCAATTTATCGACAGTATATCGATGCATGTTTGGTCCAATATCAATAATGTATTAACCGCATGTGCATTAGTGGACCCAAAATTTTGTCCATGTTGTGTGAGCTTGGCGGGTTCTTAGTAGCCCAAATGGAGCTGTGTGAAAACTTTTTATACAAATTTATAAATAAACCCAATCTTAGACATGTATTTATAAAAAAATCCAAGCACTATTTAAACATAGAAACACACCCAAAATCAACCCCAAAGTCAACTTTTTGGGTGTGTTTATAAATGGGTTTTGAGTGTGTGTAATGATGGGTTTTGGGTGTGTTTATAAAGTGTTTTGGGTGTTAGGTTTTTTTATAATTTCAACCTCCATTTTGGGTGTTTTAGTGATCATGCATTTAGTACCCTAACTACCTTAAGCTTGAAAAAAATTATGTGGTGGAAGCGACCACCTACACTTGGAAAAAAACTTTCTTGTAATGGGAATAATACTGTTATGTTATTTTCGTTAATAACCCAATGACACATGAAAAAATAATCTCACAGGCCCACGTGTCATTGTATTATTGACCGTAATAGCAAAATTTGATATTCTTGTTGCATGAGAGTTGTCTCCTAGTGCACATATGAACATCTCAAGGAACAGCACTACAAGAAAAATTCTATAAGATTATAATGATATTATACTAATATTTGCCTAAATATTTTGACATATATTTATGTGATTCCTTCAATGTTTTTCGTTATCAGTGGTGGATGTTGATAAAATTAGATTTTTTTAGAACTTATCAAAATTAAACCAAATTTTAAATTTTTGTTGCTGATAGTTTTTGACTTTTAGGCTCTGGGAATCGGTTGCCAAACTCAGAAAAGTTCGTTCAATCCGTCTGTTTGGTTTAGCCGAACCAAATGGCGGGCCTAAGGCTGAGATGGTTCCCCCAGCCAAACTCAATGCCTCTATATACTCTTTCTGTGGAGTTTGTGCGATTGCCTTCGATTTTTGAACCATTCCCATCCACTAACGAAAACTATGCCTTCTCCGGCGAGTGGCCGGCGAGCTATTGGAGTCTCAGTCACCATCCATCGTCCTCTCGAAAGCTCTCAATCCGCCATGGCTTTCTCAGAAGGTACGCTTTCGCTTCCCTTGGGGATTGATTGGCCTTGTTCTTCAATCTCCGTTTGGTTGCTGATCAGAAAATTCTAAGTATAAATAAATAAATGTGTAATGATTTTGAGCTCTTGAGCTTCGAATTTGATGAAGAAGAGAACTGATAAACTTCATCTGAACTGAGGAAATGATGAAGAAGCTCATATTTCAACATTCAAAATTAATTTTCTTTTATTGTTTTCATGTTCTCGGCAACTAAGCAGATGGCTAAAATTTGCACTAATAGCTTCAGTGCATTTGAAATTGAACTGCTTAATTGTTACCAAAAAAACAAAAACAAAAATCAACTGCTTAATTGTGCCTTGGTTTCTTCTCAGCTGTTTTTGACTAGTAATGGAACCACACTCATCTAGGGAAGATTTGGTCATCAAGGTAACAGAGCTGGGACTCTCTTTTTGTTAAACTTAAAATTGAAATTGTTTAGTAAGAGCAAAGTAGCTGAATTTCTGGATTTTTGTTGATGGCAGGCAAGAAAGCCATATACAATTACCAAGCAGCGAGAGCGATGGACACATGAGGAGCATAATAAGTTTCTTGAAGCCCTGAAGCTCTATGGCCGAGCATGGCAGCGCATTGAAGGTTAGGACACATTAGCTTTGATTTTATCTTAGCCCATTTGTTCATTTCTTTACTTACCGCTATTGTGAAAGGGTTGGAAGTCGATTCGTTTGCATTTATAGTCTGAGTTTCTTGTTACCCTTCAGCTGAATCTGCTAAATTTATCTTTTTACCAATGACTTGAAATGTTTTTTTTTATACTTCTGTTTTTGATTTGCAGAACACATTGGAACAAAGACTGCTGTGCAGATCAGGAGTCACGCTCAGAAATTCTTTTCCAAGGTCAATTGGTATCTTCTCACCTCTTGGTTATTTGAGATGTCTGATTTTTCCAAAAATATTGATCCTTTAATTTGCACTTTAGGTTTTATACTGTTTACTTAATGTTATATCCTTACTATGAATCTCATCGCCATTTGTTTCATATACAAAGTTAATTGGTAATTCAACAACACTAAATCTGGTGGGCTAGGTTAGATGCAATCAAGTTCCACTGATTATGGGCGCACCTCATTTGGAACCTCTATGCCACTGGCAACCTATAGTGAGGCTAACTGTGTGCAAGTTCTTGAGGGTATCAATAGACATCCTTCTTTTTTTGGGTACATAATATAGGTTTAAGTTAACTAATGATGCTTGAGCTTTCACCAGAGTATCTGAGATATTCCACTCCATTCTGTCAGACCACTAGTTTTGGTGTCCGGTAAATCTTATATAAATTAAATATGAAGACTGACAAGAAATTGTTTCACTACCAGCTGGAGAAGGAGGCACACGTTAATGGCGTTCCCATAGGACAATCAATTGGCATTGATATTCCGCCTCCACGTCCCAAAAGAAAACCATGCAATCCTTATCCTCGAAAGTCTAGTTCAGCTGCATCGACATGTGCCGCATTGCATGTGGGAGCAAAGGTTGGAAAACTTTTATCATCAGCGTCTTCTTCATGCTATAAACAAGTAGTGGACTTGGAGAAAGAACCACTTCATGAGGTTATCATTTTTATCATATATTTCTCTCTTGTTCTCGTGCTTCTATTCTTAAGCATGTAATATTACTTGACCTACGACTTCTTTATGATCAGAGACCCTTTGGAGAAGAAAAGGCAAATAATGCAGAAAATCAGGTAGCCAACTGGGCAGAAGTCTTCACCTTGCTCCAAGATGGTCATTGCTCCTCTGTTTCTTCTGCAAACAATAATTCCATACCCTCACAGGTAGCACTCGGAAATGCATGCACTTTAAGGGATGCAACAAATGAATCTCATGTCACTATTAACCTTAAAGGAAATCAGAATTTGAAGAAAATTGATGCCAAAATGATAGTTGGCGATAATGGCACAAGTGGAGCTCCAAAGTCGGGGAACACTAATAATGCTTTTCATAAGGAGTTGGTTCAAGGTGAGAAAATTTCAAGTCTTATTGTGTCTTCTCTGTTACAAAATCCTGCAGCCCATGCTGTGGCTAGCTCCACAGCCGCATTTTGGCCTTACGCAAATGCGAAAAATAGGAAAGACCCCCCAAGTATGGCAGCAATTGCTGCTGCCACTGTAACTGCTGCAACTGCTTGGTCGGCAGTCCATAGACTGCTTCCTCGTCAAACTGATTTTAGATGTTCTCCCATCTCTATGACCGGGGTTCCAGTTCCATCAATGGATACTGGTCAAGCTCCTCCAGCCAAGAGAGAGAAAGGAGAGAGTTCTCTGCAAATTCCTTCCTTGCAGGATCAACAATTGGACTCAAGACACACGGAAGCTGTGGAAGCTCAACATTCAAACATTGCAAAGGCTAATACTGATGATGAGAAGGACGTTGCGTCAACTGAAGAAGTTCATGATTCAAACCATGCAAAGAGCAGAAAACAGGTTTCCTTTTATATTGTTTGGTTCTACTAGTATTTTTTTCATCTATATTCAGAGCTTCTTATCAAACCAAAAAACAAAAGCAGGTTGACCGTTCCTTATATGGTTCCAACACACCATCCGACAGTGAAGACGAGACAGCTGCAATAGAGAAGAATGAGAAAGGGAGGGAAGAACTAAAAGAGCCTAATGCAAGTCACCCAGCTGCTGAGTCTAGTCAACGTCGCTGTAGATGTGTCAGCAACATGTATGATTCATGGAAAGAGGTCTCTGAAGAGGTATTTGAACATATATGTTTTGTAATCAGATCGGTTTTGTCCAATCTGTTTTTCGAATTCATCTTTCTCTTATCATGTTAACTATACCTTTGTTAGGGGCGCCTGGCCTTTCATGCACTATTCTCAAGAGATGTATTACCCCAGAGTTTTTCACTTACACAGGACCTCAAGATTAAGGGGCATCAGAATGACGGTATGGAAGACTGAAAGAAAAGTTGAAACGTAAATTACCCACACAAAAAAAGTTGAAAAAAGTTCTAACGTTGTTGAATGGGACCTGACTTTTTTACCATATACTAACCATCCAGAAAAGTTAATGTTCTAGGTAGTGCCACATCAGCAATGTTGAAAATTGGTTTATGTTGAAACCAAAAGTTTAAGCTTGACCTTTTATGAGATATTGAAGAACATAAAAGTGGAATTCGATTCCCGCAGATGTCATAGTCCTCCAATTTCTTGGCAAATTTTCACACCTTCTTTATCAGAGGGACATAATTAGTTAAATTGAAAACAAAATAATGAAACTAGGAATTTTCATAAAGGGACTATTTTGGTCTATCGTGTACGGAATGGGGTGAACCACATAAAAACCAAATAGAATACCAAAACAAGTTTTTGAATCTTAATGAATTTTAGAACTCCTTGTTTTTAAGAAAAATCATAGTTTTTGAATTTCCAATTTAAATAGGATACCAAACGCCACTTTAGTTGGTCAAATCAAAGGAATAGTTCTAGCATTTAACTCAACAAAATCAACAACTATGGTAAAATGTTTGAAGATACTTGTAGTATTTTGAAATTTCGACTGATTTTTTAAGTTTCGAGGAGTTGATGTTGCAGACGAAATGAAACTTATCTGGTTGGAAGGTTCCTACCACAAAGAAAATGTATATATATCTAAAGAAAATGTGTTACTGGGAAGGTCTCTTATGGTAATCAAGTTGTTAGGCTGATGCTAGGGATGGCAACAGGTTGGATAAGGGACGGGTATGACAATACCATTCTCGTCCCTGCTCTCCATCCTCGTCCCCGTCCTTGAACCCATCCATGTTTAATAGATTTCGGGGAATCTCCATCCTCGTCCCCATCGAGGGACTATTTCCCAGACCCGCCCCAAATCCCCCATGTCTTTTTTAATGCATAAAATCAAATGAATACAAAGCAGGTGGACAAGATTCTCTTGAGAACAAATCTCCACCAAAGGCCTCTCTATGAATTTGAGACTTTCAACTTAGACAATATTCTCTCTGCACATAAAGAAGCCGTTTGCCAAGCACATATATATAATATAGAGAAAAAAGATTACGGTGGACTTGTAATCAAGACTTGAGATACAATTTAAATACAGAGAGACTTGAGACTAGAGATATAGAGAAGATTAAGAAGAATTAGGAGTAGAGAGAGGGGGAGAGAGAGAGAGGTGCGGCTGGAGACCAAAGAAGATTAGGAAGAATTAGGAGATGAAGGTAAACTTAGGGTTAAATATAAATATTATAATTATATACTAGCTTCTTCGCAAGTGCTTCCGCGTTTGCAAGAGTTTGTTTTTATAAATTTTTTTTTAAAAATTTATTTTAGAATTAAAAAAGATAATGGGTAGTTGTGTTTCATAAAAATAGGATCCATTATCTGATTTTTCTTTTAATTTTAATTTTTTTAAATATGAAAAAGTGTGAATTTACCATATTATCCTCATTTAATTAATAATTTCAATTCTTAATGTTTGGATTAACTAAGGGTATTTTCTGGTATTTTAAATGTTTCACTATTATCTGTCTTTTGCTTTATATATACTAGCCTCTTCGCACGCGTTTTCGTGTCTGCGAGCACACTGCCAAGTGACAGCTATTGTTGTCTTCCTTTGTTTCACTAAAGAGGCAGAGGGTCAAAGTTTTATCTAAATAATAACAATTTTTTTTCCATATGAATCCAAGTGTGGGATAGATAGATAGAGAGTCTCTGCATCACCCCAAAGTCGTGATATATATATATATATATATATATATATATATGGGTCGAGTTTGTTCACGGGGATGCCAATACCATCCCCACCCCATACCCGTCGGGGATTTTTCAAGTTCGGGAATTCCCGTACTGGATACCCACCTTTGCGAGGATTTCAACCATCCTAGCTGATGCCATGGACTATTTGAAGCAGCTGAATTGAATTTTCTTTTACTATTTTTAGATGCTTCTAAAATAATTTGGGTCAAAACGTGCGAGCGTACTTATGTGGTCGAAACGTAGAATAGGTGGAGGAAGTGTAAAGTGCTGAAAAACAGGATGTTTTTTTTGGTCAAATAAAAAACACATGAAGTTGAGACAGATGAAGTGCGATTAGAACTTGGAAAGGGTCTTTGGAGTTAGTGTTGAATGGAAAGGCGGAGTTAATTAAATATTTCGTAATGTATGTCAAATAACTCTATATAACACACCAAAAAGATATTTTAAAAAAAACATTTGATTTTAGGACAATACCATCCTGTTTTGATTAAGTCATAATCATTCATTCTCTGAGCTGCCATTTAAAGATTATTTTTGCAAGTGGAGATTCGTTAATTACAACGAGTTGGATAAGAAAGTGCACTCAAAGAGGCGAGATTTACAAAGAGTAATTCACACAATGTGGTACATAAAGATGGTAAGAGTAGCATTATTCATTTAGATTTTACAAATTGCGAATCAATAACTTTAAAATAAGAGCTATGAATAAATAATTAAAGGATAGCTCATGAATTTTCCACAATTATAGAATAATTCTAAAACAGATAGGATAGGCTCAAAGAAACAGAAACTAAAGTATTAAATTACTTGTAAACTCGTTGAAATATTCTCTTACTAAATTCTATAGCAATTGAAACTAAACTAACAAATTACCTAAAAAGATCATTGAAATGTTCTCTTTCTAGATTGTATAGCAATATTAAATACTTACGCTGATTTTGTATAGAGACATTGCCAAACTTGTTCATTCATTCATGCCTAAGGTTACATATAAAATACAATATTCAGATTTGGCACGCCAGTGATAATGCGATAATATCAAAGAATAAAACTCAACTTTGTACCATTAATTCGAAATCTAATGATATCTTATATTTATCAGATTTTGAATTAATAGTGGATTCGATCAGTAAATATGATACATGTAACATTATATCGCAGCGTGGACAAAACACACAAGAGGATCCTGTAACCTTCACTTATTTTTCTTGTCTTTTTCTTTATTCTCTTTTTTTAATCTTTTTTTTTTCTCGTTTGAAGATATTCACTGACCACCTTATATATTGGTAAAGCTTAAAGAAATATTTGGAGATCAAAGCGCAAGCAGCAGCAGGGATCCTTGAAAACTTTGAAAACTTGTAGTTTTACAACAATGGCTGCCAAATTATTATCCGATCTTGCCTCTGGTGTGACTTGTGTTCCCTCCAACTATGTCCGGCCTGTACATGATCGTCCAAGTCTCGTCATGCCCCCCGATCACTCTATCCCTCTCATCAATCTCCACTGTTTCGACGGTTCGAGGCGCCATGAAATAATCAACCAGATAGGCCTTGCCTGTCAAAATTATGGTTTCTTTCAGGTAACACACAATTAATAAATTCTTTTTAATTAAGGCAAAAATGTAATTTAATTATTTCATTGTAAAATTAAAATATTTGAGGTCCAAAACCACGCAATTGAAGAGGCCGTGATCGACAACATGTTGAAAGTAGCAAGGGAGTTTTTTCATCTGCCAGAAAGTGAAAGGCTCAAGTGTTTCTCCGACGACCCGTTGAAGACCACAAGACTGTCCACCAGTTTCAATGTCAAAACTGAGGCGGTCTCCAGCTGGAGAGATTACTTGAGACTCCATTGCTACCCTCTCGAGGACTACATGCATGAATGGCCCTCCAACCCTCCGTCTTTCAGGTCGGGCGTTCGAAATTTATGTTGTCAGACAAATACTTATGATAATGTAACATACACTTAATATGTTAATTATGTTGCGAGACTGTTAATCTATATTGATTAGGTAAACTTTTGTTAGAATATACGTACGATCCATATATACAACCTAATATGTCAAATATCTGGCAAATTAATTAAGATTAAGAGCCTTCTCTAATTAGATTTGAAATTTTGCAGGGAAGATGTGGCTGAGTATTGCAGGAATGTGAAAGGATTAGCAGAGAGACTTCTGGAAGCCATATCAGAAAGCTTAGGCTTAGAAAAGGATTACATGAACAGGGCCTTGGGGAAGCATGGGCAGCACATGGCCATCAATTACTATCCGCCTTGCCCTCAGCCGGAGCTGACCTATGGCTTACCTGGTCATGCTGATCCTAATGTCGTGACCCTTCTCCTTCAAGATGACGTGGCAGGCTTGCAGGTCTTCAACAATGGCAGATGGGTTGCAGTCAAGCCCATGCCACATACGTTCATTGTCAACATTGGTGATCAAATCCAGGTCAGCAAAATCATCCCCATTTATTGACCCTATTCAATAATTTATAGGAAAGAATTCGACCCGTGATGCAATCTCAACCACTGATGATGAGTTTCGTATATGCTGAATTACGCCACGCTCTGACACACGACTCACACTACAACTTGCAAGGTTAAATTGACGCGTATGTACCATTGGCTTGCATGACTGACAAGTGTGGGTAGCCATTAAAATGATTAAGGGTCGAGAATAGTGTTTAGGGCAGGAAGTGGCAGAGATCTATGTCACAAAAATAAGCATATACAATACAGCCAGATCCAGGCAGATAAAACTGCTTAAAAGTGCATAAATTATCAGCCTGCGTACGTGTTTTTTCTTTTCTTTTTTTATAAGCGATACTCTAAATTATAAGATAAGGAGTTTTTCTCACACACACAACTAATATGTCATGGGAGTTCGAATTTGAAATCTCAGATCTGCAAAGCAAGGTCTTTCTTCCCTCGGTTAGACCCCATTACAATATTTTACGTGTTTAAGTAGGTCTTCATGATGCCTGAAGCAAATCAATTTCAACAAATTTTTGGGTTGGACCACATAGAAGCTTCTTCACGTGTATGTTCCCTATAAGTATATAAATGTTCCAGTAATTTGCATTGGACCGTCACTGATTGTCATGGCTGTAGTCAACTATGAATAAAGAAATAGTACCAGCTAGCACCATTTACTTTTTTGTTTACCCAGGGCAAGTTCTAGTTTACTTTGTCTTATTTTGGAAAAAATCTTTCTTAGCATTGTGTACTGTTTTGTTATCCTCGACTAATAACACAATAAAAAATTCACTAAATTTTATGTGAATTTTTTGTTCAGATTGTTAGTAATGATCGTTATAAGAGTGTACTCCATCGAGCAGTGGTGAATTGCGACAAGGAAAGGGTCTCCATCCCAACATTCTATTGCCCATCGTATGATGCTGTGATGGAGCCAGCCCCCCAACTTGTTGACAATCATCACCCTCCCCTCTACAGGAGCTTTACCTACGCAGAGTTCTATGAGAAATTCTGGGACAGAGGCCTCAACACTCGATCCTCTTTGGACTTGTTTAAGACTACCTCTCATGCTTAATCATTTCATTAAGCTCTCAATAATCTCGTCCCATGCTGTTGTTGTTGAACCCTCTCAGACCTTCTAATTACTCGTATTAATTAATAATAACTACAATTTCAGTGCTTTGTGGCCTCGTTATCATAGCCATAGATATGGTCCAATAAATGCAAAGCTCTTTTCAGAGGCTCTACAGCCTTAACCTTACTGAGGCCCTTGTCATGGCAGTGATTCTGATTGGGCCTTAAGACTTTAATTCATTACCCTGTCAACATTTTATATGGTCCAAGCATTTCTTTTGATTCCCCTCCAGTTGAAATTTTTTAATATGAAATTTTTTTTTGGGGTCAAGTGTTTCGGGTTTAGGTTGACGGGATGCCATTTTCATGAAGGTGCCATGTTGCTTAAAGTTGTCGAATATGAACATCAAACTCAAAATTAATTGGCGATATATATTGATGAAAATGTGAAAGATGTTTGAAATTAGATCCTTATTTCATAAACTGCTATAACTAAATTTAGTAGCAAAATCTGCAGACTATATACATCACAGCGCTGAGATCATGTCTTGATCATATGGGGTTCATAATTTAGGCGTTCATCATGCTATGGGGTCCTTTGGCACTGCCACTTTGTCGATTCATCACTTCAATCACTCAACACCAACAACTTTCGGAAAAGTCGTTTGGTGGTACGTACCATCCTTGATACATTGCCACTTCGGTAAAAATTATAATAAAGACAACATATTAGGCAGTCCCTTTTTATCGAGGATTCTTGAAATAACTTGATGTAATGGACATTTGTGTGGTATGCTACGAATTTTACTTAAAAGATAAAAATAAATAAAAAACATTAAGACATGTAATTGTGATCATAATCTAAAATATCGATAATATTGACGAAATGTTGAGGATATTATCGTTTTTTGGAGTCATGGATATCTCGGAACGTATCTATTCACATATCGTATAAATATCGACAATAATATCGAAAAATATCGATGTCGATAATTTCTCTCACAATTGAACAATATTTTGTCAAAATATCGCTATAATATCACTATATTATCAACATATCGATGTAATGGAAAAAAAAAAAAAAACACACACACACACACACACACACACAAAGTACACACCCAAAAGGGGATTCAAATCAAGGTCTAAAATATCGTTGGTATCAGAAATATCGATAGTCCAAAAACATGGAAATTTCGATGGAAATATCGGGATATTATCGATATCGATAAAAATTGAATAAAAACCACGAAAATTGTAAG